GGATGTATCATAAGGAATTCTGTAACTCAACCACTACTCTTCTGGCAATTTTTTTATTGGGTTTAATTTGAGAAGACAGCACACAGGAAGTGAAATAAAAATACATAACTAATTTCCACTGATCAACAGTATTCAGAAATAATGTCCTTCTCTACGCCGTCTAAACCATTAACATTAAGTTCCCTAAAACATAGCTTAGTGGTGGCTGGGAAAGGAAAGAACATTTTATCTTTATCCTGCAAAACAAATGATTCATTACAATATGGGAAGAACTACTATAGAAGTGAAACCCAGCAATATAATTGCCTAACAAGGAGCTAGAAAAAATTACATTCATTGACATTGGCAGGATGCATTGTTACATTTATGAAATATAAGGATCTGTATGAAGCTGTGGATCTTCTGTGTAAGGATGGCTTATTGTATACTTCCAACCTTCTTATTCTTATCTATCTTTTCCTCCTTCCAACCTCAGTACTTTGTTCCTTTTCCTTCTCCCGTGCTTTCCTTAACTCATCCACTCCACTATCATTAGGCCGTTCACCATAAGATTGTCAATAAAGCAAATTTCTAACCTTTCCCTGATCACTTTGCTTTTCAGTTGTATGTACCTCTTTTCCTCTACCTTCATCTTTCATATATAAGGGGCGATCATAGAGAAATTCCAGGGGGAGCGCGAGGCGACACAGCCCCCCCCCTCCTATCAAGTTTTGCTGCCCCGGTCAGTTCCTTTTCTTTTGCTCAACAAGTTTTGCTGCTATTTTTTGGGGGGTGGGGTGAGGGTTTCTCAAAAATCAAAAAGGGAGCGTGATACCAAAAAGTTTGGGAACCACTGAGTTAGACAGTAAGCTCTAGCTCTTACTGCATAGTTTGCACAGTGCCTAGCACAGTACAGTCTTCAGTTGGGGCCTGAATGCTATTTTAATGCTTGTGTCACACTGGCTCGAGTGGTGCTTGAGCAGGTAGGGTTGCCAGATGGTTTACCCAAAAATACTGAACACCCTCCCACCAAAAGAAAAAAAAATGTGGAAAAATTTTTGTTGAAAAAACAAGGGAGGACCAAAGGTGTTGAGCAAAAAAAATAAGGACACAGAGTTATTAAGCAAAAAAAAAAAAAAAATTAAAACAATATGGCCCCTTTAAAAACAGGTGGGGCTGGGCTCTGCCTCTCCTAACAGGCTACCAGCAGCCGGTAGCCATCTTGCCTCCCTCCCTGCTCCAGCCCAGACAGCTCCCCTGCAGAACCAGGTAAGCAGCAGAGGGGTGGAGGGGTCTGGGCCCAATTGCTGACTGTGTGTAGGGTTGCCAGGTGTCCACTATTGACCCAGACAGTTTGGTATTTTCACCCCCTGTCCGGGAAAAAAATCAGAAAATACGGGACATATTAAGTGTCTGGTATTTTCTGAATTTTTGTACTGGACAGGAGCCAAAAATTCCAGACTGTCCGGGTCAATACCAGACACATGGCAACAGTATGAGCAGGAGTGCCAACCTCAGAACTGTCAGTCAAAAAGTCGGGTAAATATCCTGGGCGGACTGTCTGTTCTTTAGATTTCACCACCTCAGAAACTAGCATGAACTCCGAAAGCACTAGAACAGTTTTATCATGGAGTCAGAGTTGCTGTGATATTACTGAATTTCTGATGTGAACATGTAGAAATTGTTGCACCTGCTGTTGTATGTTTGCCCCAGATTGTGTACAAAGTGGCACAAGTGAGGTGTCTATTGAAAGCTTATGCTTTGTTGATTTGTTGATCTCATTTATACAGTTGATATGAATGTATGGTTTTTTGTATGTGATGTTATGAGTATTGACTATGTACTGGTATTTTGCTACTGTGGAATGGTGAATAGTCAAGTGAATCGGAGTACAGTACTTGACTGACAATGAACCTTAAGAGTTGCCAATACACCTGGGGAATTTTGCTGTAAACCTGTAGTCAAGCATGTATGCCATGGCTGCTTGCCTAAAAAAGACATGAACAGGTGACTTGTTCATGTGACAAACTCCATTTTGGGAGATAATTTCACACAGTGAGAACAATGGAATTCCTTCCACATGAGCAAGGATATAAAAAAGGCCCTAGGGGTTTCTCCTTCACTCTAACATAACAGCACGGATAAGAAACTTAAGTTAATTTCACCTGTGGGTACAGGGGAGGATGCAGGGTGCTGGCTCTTGCAGGGGGTGTCAGGACTTGGGCAAGAATGCAGGAGGGGGTTCTGGCTCTGGGAGGAGACTGTGTTATGGTGCGGGCTCCCTCAAGGTGGTACTTACCACTTGCCACAACAGGTTGGCAGTGTAGTGAGGCTGAGGCAGGCTTTCTGCCTGCCTCAGCCCCACTCTAGATCCTTGCACAGATACGAAGTCTGCCTATGGATAGACCTCTGTGTTCACTGATCTGCAGGGCCTTGCTCCCAGGAGCCAAAGGAGAGGAACATGGTGCCGCTGCTCATAGAAACTAGTGCCCCATTCTGGCAGCTCCTCCCAGCCATGCCACTGCACTGTCCCCACTCCCACTGCCAGTGTCCCCAGACAAAGCACTGGCACTTTGGAGCAGTGGCACCAGGCTCATCTCCTTTGGATGCAGTATCTTCTGGGAGAAGAGCCCTGTGGATCAGTGAATACTGCTGTCTAATCATGAGCAACAAGGCTCTACAGGCCACTCCCAGAAGTAGCCATCAGTCTCCTGTGGTCCTGGGTTAGGGGGCAGAGGGTATGTGGCCCTCTGCACAGCTCCACGCACCACTGTCCCTCTCTGCTGGCACCACACCCATCAGTCCCATTGGCCATGGTTTCCATTCCGAGTCAATGGGAGCTGTGGGGGGCAGTGTTTGCAGGCAGGAGCAGCACTCTGAGACTCCTTCCCTCTCCCCCGCACCACACACAAAGCCGCATGGGACAGGAAAAACCAGGGAGCCTGCTGAGCGCAATCTAGTGGGAGACTTCCCAGGATCAAGCAGTCAATCCAGTAGACCAGTTGGTGACCAGTGCTTTACATCAAAAATTGCAACAATATTCAGGCTACTCCCAGTCTCAAAGGTCTTTGATTGCAGATGAGTACAAATGACAATAGCCAATCTTGTAATAAACTAATCAAAGTTTTATTAACTAAGAAAAAGGTTATTTACAAGGTTAAAACAAGTCACGGACTGTAACTCATTAGTGTATGTATAAGCATCTATAATAAGTAACTGTGTCCTTTAAGACTGACCCATGCCAAGCAGCATGGTGATCTCTTGCTTACATTTAGGAATCCTTGCCTCTCAGAGTCCAATTGCATCTGCTTGTCAGGGATTTGTAACCCTTTTTCCCCCAGAGTCTACTCTGATAGAACCAGTGTCAGCACCTGGTTCCTCTTCATGTGTGTAGGAAGAGCAATCAACAGTCTTGGTCCTTTTATAGCTTACAATGACTCATTTAGTTTCAAAGACCTTCTTGTCTGAAGGACTAGCACTTTACCTTAATTAATGCTTCATTTCCTGCTTGAGGCCAGTTCTCCATTACAGACCTATATCAGTATAACGGCATCACTCAGGAATGTGAAAAATCCACACCCTTTAGTGATATGTTTCAGCTGTGCCAATAAAGCATTTAAAGTGTAGGCCTGCCCTGCGTTACAGAGCTACAAAGGTTTACAGTGCAAATGCTCACTCTATACCAGGGGCTACTGACTTTATTAGTGAGATCAATACATACAGCATCCTACACTATTCATAAATTGTCAACACCAAATATTCTTGCAACTTTAATATTTATTTTAACAATACTAACACAGAGATACATCAGACTGGTTTCCAGCTATGTTTTTGTAAGAGTTCAGTGAGTCCTGAGGCCTTCACAGGAGCTGGGACCTGATCTGCCAGCATCATAACGAGTTAACAAGTAGAACTGGAGGATTTTTTCACAATTTCTAGAGCTCTCTAATAGAGCCACTGCTTGGGATTATTCTATTTAGGGTTGCCAGATACCGTCACAAAAAATTTAAAACATGGCAGGGAAAAAAATTGGTTGAGCAAAAAAAAAAGAATGCTGTGCCTTAAATACATGTGCTCCCTGTTCCCCCTGCCCCTGCAAGATGCAGCAAGGAAAAATGTCCCTGCCGGTCTTCCATCTGAGAGAACCAGAAAATACCGGACATTTTACTTGTCAGGTATTTTCTGAGGTTTTTTTACCGGACAGAAGATGCAATTACCTGACTGTCCGGGTGAAAATCAGACACCTGGCAACCCTAATTCTATTCCTTGCATTGACCTATCAAATGCACACAAGCCAGGATTACATAGAAAAAGCCAACACAAATGCCACGGTCATCAGTCTAATGCACCTATCATCAAGTCGGTCTCTGTGTGACTCCTTGAATCTTTTACTAGCAATGGCAGTACAGTTTGCTGATTGTCTTGCTGCTATTGTGTACCATTTTCTCTGACTCCTCTGAGGATTTGCAGAGTGTAGGAGTAGAGGGAGTTGACTAGACTTTGGGACTCTTAACTTATAAGTACTTCAGCCTCTGTCTGTCTCTGGATGGGGATTTAGGCTCACAAACACATGCACCAAGAGGGCAGGTGTGTGTGTGTGTGTGTGTGTGTGTGTGTGTGTGAGTGTGAGAGAGAGAGAGAGAATATCCTGTTCAGAATAATTTCATAATGCAGAAAGTACATTCTCAATATTGTTTTATATTGTCAGCACTACATTAGTTTCTGTGCATTGAGCAATTTCCAATTTTGGGGTAACACCGTATTTTAGTGGAATGTTTTCTACTTAAGTTTGTACCAATAATGAGTGTAAGAAATGGATGGTCTTGTTCCATACCCAACATCTGTCTGTCCACATGTAAATGCATCAGTGTTTTAAACTCATAAAAGATATATAACTGATAACACTTGGTAGGCTGCTCATCACAGACTGAATAGGTACACATAGTACATCAGTTAGTATAGGTTGTATATGACCATTGTATTTAGTTTTTCTGTAATGTACTGTGTTTTTCTTTCTTCAGGCTGTTTTTATTACCATACCTTAATTATCTGGATGTTGCCTACAATGATATTAGCATTATTCCTCATGAAATCAGGAATCTCAGGTACTGATACATGATATACGCTGGAACCAGACTTATGTGTAAAAAATATTGCAAGCTATGTTATGAAATTGATGGTTATTAGTAATTCTGGAGTAACTCCACTGATGTCCCTGAATTTACTCTGGATTCACATGGGTATAACAGATCACAATCTGTCCTCCTGTCCTGTTAAAAGGGTCTGATTTTTAAAAATTAAATGGATGTCCAGTTGCTTAAATGTCATGATTTTGCTTCTAAGGTAACTGCACACAAATTCTAATCATTTGCTAAGGGTGACCATGTGCATGTGCACTAACCTAATATGCATGCATGAAGATCACTACAATTAAGTGCCCCCAAATCATGTAAATTCCATTGTCATTCACAGAAGGTATGTCTAGACTACGCTGAAGTTTTGAAAGAGGATATTCCTATGGAATTTGCATATTTTCTTCCGTTTTCACTTTCAAAAGTGGAGCTTTTGAAAGTGAAAGTAGTCGGGACGCGGGTTTTTTGGCAACCCCCCCTTTTTTGAAAAACCGCATAAACCTCATTTTTTGAGGAAGAGTGGTTTTTCAACCAGGGGGGAGGGTTGCCAAAAAAAGCTGCATCTAAACTACTTTCACTTTCAAAAGCTCTGCTTTCAAAAGTGAAATTGGAAGAAGATACGCAAATTCCCGTGGAATTTGTTGTAGTCTAGATGAGCCCAGAATGTGCAAGTGAAGGTGTGATTGCAGGACGGGCAGGCATACCTGTGCTAGCTTTAATCTAGGACAGGTGATGGCCCGGGGAGTTGGTAGTCCTTGCTGGACTGTAGAGGCAGAATCCAGGAGCGGTTGCCCTAAACTCTAATAGCTATGCAAGAGGATTTGTTTTTCCACACAAGGTCAGTTTGTCTCTGTTTTTGGTTAGAAAGTTTGTGGCTGTATCAGCAGCTGTTTATATGAGCCAAAGGAGAGCAGATACTGAAGTATACTTACATGTTAATAACCTAGAGTGTGAAGTTCGGAACACATACACCTTTAAGTTTTTGCGAAATCTAAGGATGGCCTATCTGTGCATTTGGGAACCTGTCTTAAGCATCCAGCTGAATACATACACAATCCCTATTTCCAGTTGCTTACATTGTACTTGGGGAAATAATTCTTCTTTGTTCACATATTTGCATCATTGTATCTTACACTTAAAATGCATTGTTTTTTAAACTTAGCCTTTTACACATAAACATGCGCCATCTTGTTGCAACAGCTCAGCAAGTGGGAAGTACACTACATATATAATCAGAGCTGAGATATATTGTGTGCATAATTTGGTGGTCCTTAAAATTACAGGACACTGGAATATCTGAATGTTGAAGGGAATCAGCTGTGTGCTTTGCCTTGTGAGGTTTTGAAGCTTCCTCTGAAATTCCTTAACATAGAAAATAACTTCATGCATCCCTTCTTATGGAAAGAAAACAGCCAGAACCAACCACAGAGACTTACTGATCTGGCTGCCCTTTGCTTCTCCAGAAACAAATTGTGGCAAAAATATACCAAGATTTCAAGGGATATTCAAGAAATATTGAACAAGTAAGTGATTGAAATCTCTGGCTACCCCCAGATTCTATGGGAACTGTGGACACACAAGAAATGTACCAATGGCTCCTAATCACTTATTCTGGCAATGTCAGAAGGACACAGGCTTTAGAATTAGCAGTGTCTACTTTTTCCATCATGAGACCACCTCTGTAAAGCCCTACTATATCAGCTGCATGCCAGGCATTGTAAGTCACAGAGTAAGCAAAGAGAAATTACTGACATCTTCTCATTGAATTAAAATAAAGCTGATCAATAATATTGCTTTTACATATTGGTCAATATATAACGATTCCCATGCAGGTGTGCTCAGCTGTGTTTCTGATTGAACTAAGAGCCTGTGCATTTTTTATAATACTTGGCAATGTACGTTTAGTTAATTTCATCAAACATCATGTGCAAATCCCTCCATTTAACTGCCTTAGGATTCACCATAATAGCTTCCTACCCAAAAATGTTTGCTGCAGTCTCAAACTAAGGTTGTGCATAGAACAACCTGTTCAGGTGAGAGCTGTGAGCTTCAGAACAATCTATATAGAAAAAAATACCAGCTCAGTTTCTAGGAGTGGCAGAGTTACCGCACTGTTACCAGATTTGCCCAATACTCTGGGGTATGCTCATTTATCAGGGTTACCCTTATGGGCCTGGGGGAAGGTTAACAGTTCTATCAGTGTGCTGTTGGTGCTTACTGGGGCTCTCATATGGAGCTGAATTCTCCCTGCTGCCAATTCCCCCTCCCACTGGAGCTCTCCTGCAGGAACTAGGTTCCTCAGGATGGGGTTCTTCCCACCTTAGCAACACACACAGACACTCACACCCACTAACAGAGCACGTCTGAGAGGACTGGGTACTCAGCACTCACAAGCTGACCCCCTCATATGTCCCTGGACTCAGCTGGCTGGGTTTCACAGCAATGCCACACTGCACCCTCATGTGCCTTTGGACTCCGTGGGCTGGATTAAACAGCACTTTAAGCTGCCATCCTCATAAGCCCCCAGGTTCAGCACCCCCTATCCCCACTTTCACACCACAGTCATTCACAGGTAAACCACACGATGAGCAAACCCCACAGGATTTTGGGCACTACAGGGATCTTTTGCTTGGGTACAAGAAGCGTTGTTGCAGAGCGAATGGGGAAGCCAAAACAACACCCCTTAAGGAAGAGTGAGCAAAAGAGAAAGAAAGAGAGAGAAGCAACCAGCTTAACAATGAAAGTGATTTATTTCTGAGTAGTGAATAGATATCAAACAGTTACAATATTAAATCTAACAATTACAATATTAAATCTAAATTGAAACTGATTACAATGTTAGGTAACCATATAACAGTTTACACAGGGCAGGGTCAGGAGGCTATGCTTAGAGAGATAGTTGAGAGAGAGAGAAAGAGAGAGAGAGAGAGAGAGAGACCTCACCACTCCACGGAGCTTGCACTGATCGGGGTTCCCAGATGATGATGGTAGCCGGGGGTCCAGAGGGCAGGAGAAAAGCAGGACAGAGCCCCCAGCACGATCAGACAGGAGATGAAGAAGTCTCAATGGAACTGATGCAGTTTAAGTCCAGGTATCAGAACAGTTTTCTTGGGACAAGGATAGGAGTTTTTCTAGGGATAGTTCAAAGAGAAAGAGGAGAGACAATAGAGACTGATCACACCTGGTTATGGGTGATGTTCCTTGAATGA